TTAAATTAAAAAAAAAATTTCAAATACAACACTCCTAAGGAAGATATAAAAATCATAATATGGTAGCACTGTATTATTAATTACCTTAATGTTAGAGTAATATTTCAACTACTCTATATAAAGATTATATCATCACTAGATTTTTTTAAATATATCAACTGCCATACACACTGCATCATTTTTACAGCACATGCTTATAATATACGTTTACAGCACAGCGCCGATGGGAGATCTCAAATCGATATTGAAAAATGACTAGTTACAGCATAAAAAGCTCAAAATATGAACTCTCATAAAAATTGAGAAATATAGTCAGGTTAGTAATATCGCTTGTATACCGATAATATTATTAAATACAAGAAATCGTATGTACGAATTAAGCTATATATGCATTATTATATATGCATAAATAAATATTTGTACTGATTGGTCCTACATTTCAATTAAAGAATGATTAAATATTCTTTTCATATCTCATAAAGATCAACAGAAAAAGAAATATAAAAAATTTATAGTTTAACTTTATAAAATATTCTTTTTATTTAATAAGAAAAATAAATTTACCCCTTTTGCATTTTTTCTGAACACTTTGTAATCTGTTTAAATAATAAAAATTAATATTATTTTCTACAAAAGCAAACAATAGATACCCAAATATTTTTGTAATTATTTTATATAATTATTACTAATGCACATATGAGCTTTTCTGTAACAAATTGGTAAATGGTATGCATATCCTAATATGCAAATAATATAAATTAGGCATTTATTCTTGTTTTGTTTTACTATCACCGCTTATTGACTCGTCCGATGGTTTTATTAAATAACGTATTTGCAATTGCAATTACTGGAGAAAATAATTTCAATTGGCAATCACTGAAACAATTATTTAAATTATGATTAAATATCATAAGTATTATCATAAAATATATATTTTATAATATAAAAGAAATATACCATACTCCAGTTACAGGTTCTGCTTCATTTCCACTTACAATAAACAGTGGAAATAAAATGGAAAAAACACAGCCACTGAAAAAATAAAAAAAATTATTTATAAATCCATAGGTTTTATCAAATTATTGCAGTTTCAATTATAGCATGATGAATATAAATTCTATTCGTCATTTTTGTACCAATGATAAAAAATTAAAGGAAAATCATTAATTGAACAAATTTTAATATTAACTTAATATTAATTTTTGGAGTTTAATCATTAAGAGATTGACTAAATAAAAATAGACATCTATCTTTAAATATTAAAAGATGTTGTGTCTTTCTTAGAAGGTAACAATTGTATAAATTATTTTGTACCTTACAAAGTACGAGTTGGGCATTTGGGTAAGTACTGCTAATGGCATACCAAAGCCTAAAAAGTATGGCCAATTGCCTTCGATAAAAGTCAATCGTCTATGCAATTCCCAACCCATGTTGAACCACTTGTATTCGAAGGCATAGAGAGCATATAAAAGGCACATGTGGACAAGGGCAAGAATGTCTCCTAATGGCGGTAGTGGAACTTTAGACACTAACATTCCTTGTCCCAAGAATAATGCTTGAACTAATACGCTAAAAAGCGTGTCAGCTATTAACTTGCTTACACTTGACAAAAGCAATGGTCTCCCCTGTCTATATCTGTAAGCACTATCTGCTATGTCCTATATATATTTGCAAATACACTGTGTTAATATTATGTTAGACATAGATATGGTAATATTAGTCTGCGAATTTACACATGAATCTGTTTTTCAAATTTGGCTACGTCACAATTTTGAAAAAATTTGCCATATTTAAAAAATAAATTCATGTTCAGCAAACAAAAATACATTTTAAAAATAGCTACAACTGTTAAAACAATTTTTTATCGCAGACTAGTATAATTTTCAGTGTTTTAATAAATTTTTTACATTTTATATTTTACAAAAAACCATACCTGAAACCATAAACTATTAACTATTCTGCTGAGTAAGAACAGTGGTAGCACCCATATTGTACCAAATGTAAGAGATAGAAATGGCTGGATCCATGACCATACAATAAGACCCATACCAGGAGAGTGGCCGAATATAACAGTCAATAAGTACTTAACAAATGGCAGAAGTCCAAAATCGAATATCAGTATACTAGCCCAAAACACTCCACCATTCAATGCACAACACTGTAGAGTTCTCCTCAACACTTTAGATTCCCTAAAATTGAATGGACTAATAAATTTTGTTATTAAAATCATCTTTCATAGATGTTCCTTGTAAATAATAAGGATACCGCTGCTTATGCTTGGAGGGACTCGACATAACTACATCTCTCTTCCTGAACTCTGCTCGGTTAGAAGTTTTCTCAACCAATTTCTCATTAATTTGCTTATCCATGTAGAAAAGTACAGCGGTACCTTTCAAACTGTCTACAAATCCTCGACATATTGCATAAATTATTCCCTGAAAATAAAAAATTGATTTAATTACATACTGACAATAACACTTATTATCTTAAATGCATTTAAAAATATCATAATCTTGAATTAACATCTAATGAAGATTTTATTAAAATATTATAATTTTACAAAATTATAATCAATACAGTTTTACTTCCCAATGTCACATATTTTCATAATTAAATAATATCAAAATAATGAGCAATTAAAACCAAACAAAAAATTTTATTATACAGTTAATTTTAAGTAGATTTTAGTTGAAAAAAATTTTAACTCAAAACTCAGTTACCAAGACAGTGAAAGTTGAATAAAAAGATAATCAAATAATTTCGACTAAGAAAAAAATGTTTATATAAATTTATTGTTACGATTTTACAAAAATTGTTTCTATTATCAAGAAGAAATAAGAAATTTTTAGAAATTTTAATTTGTTCACGGTGATAGAAGAGATATCTGTGAAGAGAGATACCGATCATCCGTGCAACAAAGATCACGGTGGATGAAAATACACTAGAACGCGCATGGTACACGAGGTTAGAGTCTACTCACTATTACGCTATCCATTGCGATTATGCTCGATTAGATGTGGCTCAATTTATGCTCGGAAAACAACCAACGGTACACCGGACAGTCATGTTGCATACAACGAAGAGGAATATAATATATTGATAATATATTTGACGCGGTTCCGTCGATTATGATGATGAAGAACAACGCTCGTTTGAGCGTATTAGACAAATTTTTTCAGGCTGCTATCGTAATATATCTCTGTTTGTGCGTCGAGTACCGACGTCAAGTGAACGATGCCGACAATTCGTCGTATAGTCCAACAACGATAAGTACCGTTGTTCGGAGCTCCATCCCCCCTTTAACCCTGCACGAATCGCCGATTTCCGGGGACGAGTCAGCTGAAAAACAAATGTGCGGAAATATCAGCTGATCGGAGGTGGCTCCCAGAAGTCTCAGCGGCCAGTGACAGTGGCTCCGAATCCGAAATACGGAGTATCCACGCTGCATATCTATAGAAAGCGGTCTACTTGACGTTACAAAATTTTGCAGCGTTTGATTGACCAATCGAAAGAAAGAATTTTACTAATTGGTCAATTAAAAAATGCTTTGTCGCATTTGTAACAAAATCAGATGTTAGTAACATTAGCTGAGTTCAGCAGAGAAAGCAACTTTAACTGCTGTAAAATTCTTCAATACGATTGGTTCTTGCTTTTGATTCCTCATGGATCTAAATGTATATCGTATTAAAAAATTTTATAATAGTTGCAAAGCTGCTTTCTCTGTTGAACGTAGTCATTCTCTGTAATTTAATAAGAAAAATTCGTTTCCTTATATGAGATAAAAAAATCATCAGCTGAAGACCTTTAAATGCATGTTTGTTTTGCTATTGAGATAATGGGTGCATTCAGTACTACGACTGCTCATTGAGCGCTCAGTGAGCTCTTGAATCTGTTTGGTCTATATTTTTAGTTCTAACGAAATATGCCAATCAGATGCAAGAGCTCGCTGAGCGCTCAGTGACCGATTGTAGTACTGATTGCACCCAATGTCAAGTGCAGTATGAATCTCCCATTAAACCGAGATAATTTATTTATTATACGTGTATTATTTAGTAATTTAACTAATTTAACGGCAAATTTAACGGCGTTTTATATGTTTAACATTTTATTTATTAATTAAGTTACTATTTTAATTGAATTACTATTTCAAATTGGGCACTTAGTGATCGATAGATAAAAGTATATCAATTAAAAAATTAATATTCTTATTAAATGTATATTTAATATTCTAAGAATATACTTAAAATAATATTATGCGCTTATGTCAAAGGTATTGATCGTGAATACGCTTTGAAACCAACTACAGAAAACAAAATAACAAATAATTGATTTATAATACAAAATAATGGGTGCATCCAGAAGCACGACTGCTCACTAAGCGCTCAGTGAGCTCTTGCATCTGATTGGCATATTCCATTAGATCTAAAAATATAGACCAAACAGGTACAAGAGTTCATTGAGCGCTCAATGAGCGGTGGTAGTAGTTGAATGCACCAACTGGCTTATGCAAATAAAAATAAAAATATGACAATCATATTTTGTTGTAGTTTTAATTAAGTAACTTTTAAAGTGTAGTGGACTTTAAAGAGTAAGTGGATCTAAATAAACTTTTGCGTGAATATTTATCAGAGTTTTATTAGTAAAAAAATTTGACTTATTTCGTAACGTTATTTTTTTATGAAATTTGCAAGTAAGCATCTACTACAAAACATAATATTACAAGAATCAAGGCAAACAAAAAATAAATAAATAACTTTTAAAACAATAAAAGAGTTCAAATTTTACAAAGTTACTCAAACGTAATAGAATAATTAATGAAATTTTCATATTTTGATAATGCTTTGCCACATATCTAAAAAAACTCTCGTAAATGATTGTCATCATTCATCACGAATGATTTCGGAAAGAAACAGCGTTGCCAATTACTTACGCATGCGCCATTGCGATGTTCTAAAATGGCAACGTGGTCACAACGGTGCAGCCTCGTCGCGGCTTCAACGTTTCCACCTCGTAGTATCATGAAATGACGAATGTACAGCGTCCAGAGGATCTGGAATAACAAAAATCTGTGCAACGCGATTTAACATCACATTGCGGTTTTCTCTTATAAACAATTTTTTTTTCCATCGTGGAAGCTACCCTTCGATTGTGACTATAACTCGCATTCTGCATTGCGTCTGTTTTCATGCCACGTTTCTACTGAATATCAGAAAATTATTCATTATTTTAGTTAAACAGGTAACAAAACAGAGTATATTCATTCATTTTGGAGCATCCCGAGTGATTCGGAGCAGGCAACCTGCTCCGAAACGCTCCATAAAAGAACAAATACTTTTCAGTTTATTTTTCAATATTCAACTAAATGTATAATTCTTAATCTTCTGATAATTAAAAAATATGAATATATTCTTGTGTATTATGATAATCCACATGTAATATTTTGAATAAGAATGTAAATGGAAGATTCTTGATGTTTTGCCAAATGATGATTGAAGTGAAATGAAATGCAAGTGCACAGTGGAAAAATTTGTGTTTAATTTAATACACTTTACGTATTTTAAAAGATATATTCAAATTTTTTAATTCAATACAAGATGAATATATTAGAAAGTAACACAACCATTATAATATAAAAATTAACACACAAAAATGTAACACTTTAATACAACTTGGAAATAAATTGTGGAAGCATATTTCTTCACTAAATTTACTACTTTTTATTTGTTAAATTAGAATGTACATTCATCTTTTATTCATTTATTCTAGAATTTATGTTTTAAAATTATGTTATTTTGATATTATTTATATTATTGTGTTATTTTATAATACTAGGAACCTTTATAGATATCAATTTCACACAAAATACATATTTAAATAGCAGAATCACGTTATGTCAAATTAACGATTGTTAAAAATTTAACACAAATATTTTAATAAGAGTTTTAACACAAGTACAAAATGTTTTTTATTGCGTGGATAATATATTTGAGCTTTCTTTGACATTTCGTTGACATGACACATATCGAAAAAAACTCTGGCAGATATATTTTTATCAGCTTCCGGACATTTGCATCATTTGAGTAATGACAGTTTTAGAGATATCTTGTAACGAAGATAAAAGAAGTTTTCTTTGGAGCTTGGAATTTTGTTAGACTGAAAATGTCATTGATAAAGTTTGTATTTAATTTTCATTTTAGATTTATATGCAGTCTTGTCTTATTTTATCTAACTTAATATTGTGTTGTAAAAGAATTGTTTAGCACAAATTGTTTTATGTGATTAATTTCTGAGCTAATATTTCAATATTAAAATAAATGTTTACAAACACTTCTATTATTATCTTTTACTTTTATCAAAGCATACATTCCTATTATTATCTATTACTTTTATCAAAGCATATGTCAAGATTAATTTATTTGTATTAATCTATTTGTAAATATGATTTAAAACAATATAAAGCCATGTAATTTTGTTTATTTGTGTTTTTAATATTATATAATAAATTATATTAAAAAAGTAGTATATTTTATATACCATTTGATAATTATGGTAATCATTGTAAAGGAAAGAAGGATAAGCTCTGAAAAAAAGCTATTTATTTCTTTTTGCTTCAACATTTTATCTTTAATCAGATAAGTTACAGATAAGTAATCTATCATTCTGTACATCTTTTTTTTGTTTAAAAATAAATTATATCTTTGATGATAATATTTTATAATCATGATATTTTTTATGCATAACTTCAAATATAATGAGTTTATCAACTAATATTACAGTCAATCCAAAAATGACAAGAATACGGAGAATCTGCTGCATTGGAGCCGGTTATGTGGGTGGACCTACCTGCAGTGTTATTGCACTGAAGTGCCCGGAAATTCAAGTGACCGTTGTTGATAAGAGCAAGGAAAGAATTGCGCAATGGAATTCACAGAAGTTACCGATATACGAGCCGGGCTTGGATGAAGTAGTAGGAAAATGTCGCGGGAAGAATTTGTTCTTCTCCACTGACATTGATACAGCGATTAAGGAGGCTGATCTGATATTCATTTCGGTAAATACGCCGACGAAGACCTTCGGCAATGGCAAAGGAAGAGCAGCTGACTTGAAATATGTGGAAAGTGCTGCCAGGATGATTGCGCAAGTTGCAACAGGAGATAAGATTGTAGTGGAAAAAAGTACCGTACCGGTAAGAGCGGCCGAGAGTATTATGAATATTCTCCGCGCCAATCATAAGCCAGGTGTTTCTTATCAGGTATAATAATTAGCTATTATTTCTCACAGTTGTTTTTTTTTAAAGACAAAAACGCGACAATTCTTGTAATAGTTGTCTTCTTCACAGAATGCCTTTATTATAACTAAAATATAATTAAAATTAATATTATTTGTTTTCCATAATCTCTATTATCTCTTTCTACATTTACTTGTAATTCATTTAAATATTCTTGACATCGCAACATAACGTTGCATAGAAATTGTAAAATATAAAATTGCAATTTTAAAATTAATGTATTCAATACAACACATGTGCAATTGTATTAGGTGCATTAAAAGTTTTATTGCGTTTTTGCTATGTTTGTAATTGATAGATTGTCAAATCGCCAATAGCAATCTTATAGTTTAATAGTTGCTTAAATCAATGTCGTTCAATTAAGATAAGCTTCCGCTTCACACTGCAAGATTATTTACGACCTTCTTTTGCTCAATCTTCGTTTGTTATTATTATCGTATATTGTAATAATCAATTTGCACATTCCCTGAGATTATTTGTCTTTTTTATATTTAGTCGAATATTAATAGATAATTGTTTCTTAGATTCTTTCGAATCCGGAATTTTTAGCCGAAGGAACTGCTATAGAAGATCTGGTAAACGCAGATCGAGTATTAATTGGCGGAGAAAATTCTCCAGAAGGGCAGGCGGCTATCGAGGAATTATGTCAAATTTATGAACATTGGATACCAAGAGAAAAAATTTTAACGACTAACACATGGAGTTCAGAATTGTCGAAGCTGGTGAGTAATGACACATTTCACATTCTTATAGTAATAGCAGTGCCGCTATGTAAATAAACTGTGTAAATCTCATTACATTGTATTACAACATACTATCTATAAGTGTAAATAAATTACGCGTTATATGACTTAAGTTTAATACAAAAAAGCAGTTCTAAATCTTTTTATCAAAACGATTACTTACTAATGAAAATGAACAATGGAGAAAAATAATTTTAATGATGTTACCAGACATTCAGGAAACTATGATTTCATCATTCTTGTAGTACGTTCAAGTATAACTCACAATGAATTTCCATTTCGGCCACCATGTGTGCTATGTTAGACACATGCCTGTATTATGTAATATTTAAATAATGTATTAAAACTTATGAATAAAATTCAATTTGAATAATCTCAAGTAATACAACAATACATTTTAATATCCGTTTATATTCATTTGATTTTAGGCTGCGAACGCTTTCCTCGCTCAGCGCATCTCTAGCATTAATTCCTTGTCAGCAGTGTGCGAAGCTACAGGTGCCGATGTGTCTGAGGTCGCTCGAGCAATCGGACTTGATTCTCGAATCGGTTCCAAGTTCCTTAGCGCGTCGGTCGGTTTCGGTGGCTCATGTTTCCAAAAAGACATTCTAAATTTAGTATATATTTGTGAGTGTTTAAATTTGCCCGAGGTAGCGGCATATTGGCAACAGGTGATTGATATGAATGAATATCAGAAGTCCAGATTTTCTGCAAAAGTCATAGAATCTCTTTTTAACACCGTGACAGACAAGAGGATCGCTATGCTGGGTTTTGCCTTCAAGAAAGATACAGGAGATACGCGTGAATCACCAGCAATTCACGTCGCTAAGACGTTGTTAGATGAAGGCGCCGTTCTTCACATTTACGATCCGAAGGTCAGCTCTTTCTCTTTTCTATAATGTGAAGATCTATCAGACTTATTTTTAATAACAGATTCTTTAAATTTCATTACAGTTTGTCATAAGTTGCATTTATTAATTTTTTATGTTTTGTATTTTATTAATTTTGATATAAATTAAATTTCAAAGATCTTTTTTTTTTTTCAAAGAATTTATTTTAAATTAAAAAAACTAGAATTTAAAATATGTAAACAATTTTTTAAATTTAATATTATTTAATCATGTAATTATATTTCTTATATATACTTTATTTACAGAAATATTAAATTTCCTGTGTTCAACATTACAATAGAAAAATTACAATTTAAATTTTTGAAAAAGTTGATGTAGAAAATTTATTAGAGAATTGATAATTAAAAGAAAATATGCGAGTATATAATTGTTCTGCATTAAAATTATATCACAAAGGAATCATGCCTCATTCAATAAACTTTGTGTCCTGTACTTTTTATATTGTTGTTCTTAAATTATATAGATAATGATTTTTATTCAATATATAAAAATTAAAAAGCATTTTAATAAAAATTCAGTAATAGTCACCGAGTGTACAGTTCTTGTACAATTTGTCTACTTTACAGGTTGAGGAAACTCAGATTATTCAAGACTTGACTCATCCAAGCATAACGAGCAATCCTAAAGATGTAAAAAGTAGAATCAGTATTTATAAAGATGCTTATAGCGCCACGAAGAATACTCACGCCATAGTTTTATGTACCGAATGGGATGAGTTTATCGTAAGTAAGAAAAGAGAGTGTTGTCTAGATAATAATAAAAAATGGCTTTATCCTTAATGCTGTCTAATTTTTCTATATATATATATAATCATATATTTAATATTATACATATCAATGTAAATAAAGAAAGAATTAATATTTCATTTTTAGGAACTAGATTATACGCAGATTTATGCAGATATGATGAAGCCAGCCTATATTTTCGACGGAAGGAATATTTTGAATTTTGATCGATTGCAAAGGATCGGTTTTATTGTTCAAACTATCGGTAAAAAACGTACAAGATCAGGAATTTCTAGAGCATGGGGTAGCCAGACACAAATTTAAAAAAAACGGACCAAGCAATACTTCTAATTTAATAAAAAAATGATAACAATTATTGCAATAATTTTAGTTAATCCAAATAGATGCATTTGTGAAACGTAGACTATTGAATTTCACTATTTTAACGAATACCTAGATACGTTTCTCTCCTAATGACGTATCAATATAGACTGCGCATCGTGATTCAGATAATATTTGGTTTTACATACTATGTTTATTATATTTTAAAATATAATCTTATTCTACTTTCTATAACTGAAGAATTTAGAAAAAAATAGAATATCATGGCATGGAGTATGTCTTTTCAGAAATATATTTTAACAATTAGAAGGCACTGCAAAAATGTTTTATATATTTGAGGTACTTGTTTATCATAATTTAATTTAATTTTTTAAATAAAATTAAGTTCTTTTCAAGAAAAGCTAGATCTTTCTATGATGTCATATTTAAATTTTAAATATTATGTTATGCTTAATTGTCTAGGATATTTAAAAGATTATATGAAGAAAATATATTACATATTCTATTTCATATATATAGTTATATGTATCAAATATAAAATTTTAACTTCTTTTATTATATATATTATCAAAATGTGAGTGTGGAATCTCAATAGATTTTATAGTATCTTCCTTATAGTAATCCACTCTGAGAGAAGGAAGTATAAGGCAAGTAAATTGTTTGGTAACAATTAATGACAAATAAATGTATTAAATAGTAACGTAAGACAATCGTATATGCGTCACTGAATAATTTTAAACTAGAAATAAATTGCAATTCTCGTAAATTGTTATAGTTGACCTTCACATCATTTTAATAACAAACTTTGACGCATGTAATTAAAGCAATGTTTTTATCGCAGATACGATAAAATCATATTTTCCTCAATACTGTTAAGATCTTCTTTGTTAAAAAATTTTTTGTTAACTTTTTAAAAATAACTTTTAATTTATTTATAAAGAAATTGCAATTGCAGTCTTGGTAATACTCAAAGAGTTCCGTCGCATTTATAATGTTTCGGAGATAATGTTATAAAATTAGTTTAAATATTGTAATTGATTTCCAATTTTATTATAGTCGACTGCATTATCGTCTAAAAAGCAATACTATCAAATCTCTTGAATTCTCATCCGTAATTATCCATAACCGTAATTATCTATCTAAGTATACTATTAATTTCAATACAATTAATTATCAAATAAAGAATATGTATGCAATATCAAATTGCAATCAAATGAAGACGAATTTAAAGTGCTATGAACGTTATGTATTTCTATTTTTATTTGTTTCTCTTATAACGATTATTTTAATAATTTTAATGGTTTACAATTTTAACTATAATAAAAATATATTCCATACATATTATTCCAACTCGTATTTAAACATAAAAATACATATAAGAGACATTTACTTTATTATTATCATTGTTAAAAGTTGGACTTGTATCTGTTATATTGTATATTTACATAATATAATCATTGCAAACTCTTTTATATAAATATTTATATTAATATCTTGCCTTATATCTTATTTGTTCAATATGCTTTAAATTCTTTATATAATCAATATATACTATCTGTTCCAGCTTTTCATTTTCCATATCACTACTATTATATATTACGTTATAAGAAACGCATTTTGTGATAATCAAATTTGTAATACATTTTTGAAGTGTCAGTTCGAATACATTTGTTCATATTTTACTCTATTAAATTACGAAATAACTTATTAATACAGATTTCGTGAATTCATGAAAAATATTTTTGAATAAAGCTTAGAAATAATTTACATTCATTAATTTATTAAATTTGTTTGCAGTATTATGTATCGATTTAAGTTCAATGTTTTTTTCAAGTCGGATGCATGTATGAAATAAATCAAGTATTTTAATATTATATTTCCTATAAATGTGTTATAAAGATAATATTATATTGTACACTATTTGAAATTATTAAAGAATTATTTCTTTTAGTTTATAAACATATTATATTAAAATAATCAACAAATGTTACAGTTTTTATAAAGTTCCAATGTTGTTTTAACCATACATTCACATTTATACATATGTAAATTGCATCTAACATAAGTGCATACATTGTGCATAGTTTCTAAGTATATAGCATAAAACTTTATAAATAAATGTTTTTAGAAAAGTCGTTTGATGTGATTAATTCCTCATATTTGTCAAATAATCATAAAGAAAACGACACCTAGCTGAAAATTTTACACAAAAAAGAATTAAGAGACAAACTTGTTTGGCACACATTTTTTTCCATTTATGCTTTATATTTTCTATTTTCTAAGAAATATGTAAAAATTAAAAATATTCGAAGATTTTATTTGGAAATATTTGATTTGTAACAATATGTTTTGCAAGAAATAAACGCCAAATTATCCTACATTATAAATTACGAAATTTCGATGTTAATGAAACTGAAAGTATCTTAAAAAGGCGCATGCGCAAATTGACAGTAATGTATCAATTTTTCGATGATCCCTGCTGTTAACGTGGCATATTTTATGAAGAAATAAAATATAATGAAATATTAAATGCAAGGACTTACATTTGCAAATTATATTCGTACTTTCTATGTTGGAAAATAAAAATTGTATTTAAGTAATTTTGCTAATAAGATTAAAAAGTAATTAATTTATTAATTCTGATATAAAAGTAAATTTATTGCGTTTTGAAATTTAAACTGTAAAAAGAAAAGTGTAAACTTGTACTTGATAATCAAATTGTTAATAACAGATTTAATAATTTCTGTAAAAATTATAACTAATATCTTTTTTCTTGATATATCTTCAACTTTTTAATGATCGTAATACAGATCGATTAAAAAATTAAATACACATTTTATACTTTTCGTACATTTTAATACAAAATACAAATTATAAAATGTTAACAATGTTTTTAGAGTATCTATAAATTTCTAATTAGTTTAAATTATTTACTATTCCAACGTTAGCGCTATGCGCGAAGTGCAATTTTTACGGCGTATTTCGAAGAATTGTCAATTCGAAGCACAAATAGATATTATATTTTGTTTATTATAATATAATGGACAGAAGATGTTTCTTTAGATTTTATTATTATTGTTATTATTTCAATCGAAATTCATTCGATTTTCCTGTTCTCTTAATTTTCAACACGGCCACAAAATGAAAATGTGAAAATGGAGCAGCTATATACGAATCTGAGATAGAGTGACGTGTTTCATGAAATGCTTTAGGAGCAACGGCAGTAGCGACAATAGTAGCACGAGTTGCTGTCCGACGATCAGCGCGAAGAGCTCTAGCGAGCGATCCGCGTGACAGTTGTGTCGAGATTGCGCCGAAGTCGCGGAGTGCCGACGACGACGACGACGATGATGATGTACGGCGAAGCGTTGTTTTCGCAAATTTTAAGTCTATTGACGTACTATTATCAGTGATATTCTCGTAGATTATTGGTGAAATTCTTTGGTTACATATGAACGTGTTCCTCGGCGTGTTCGTAGAAGAGAATTCGCAATAGGCCGGGCCTGTCGGTAGGAAAATGGCGGCGCGCCTTCTGCGGCGGCGACGTCGAACGACGAGGTGTATCTGAGAAATCGTCGCTCGTGCGAAATAATCGCTCCGCATCTATAAAAATCGTCGCACTCTTTTTAATCTCTCAAGCGAGACAATCTTCGCATATAATTCGATTGGCGGAGTAATCGCGGGCGGTGTGGCCGGAGCGACGTTCGCTCCGGACAATGTATGAACGGCGTATGGGCTGTACGGGATATATGCTCGGACAACAACGGTTACAACCGTAGGAAAACAACAAGGCAGAGCAGTGCGTGCGTGCGTGCGTGCGTGCGTTATCGCGCTCGCTCTCAGAAGCGGCAAGTGCTCTCACGCGAGCGCTCTTATGCGAGTGAGCGCCGCGAGTGCGGCGAGTCAGCGGCATCGGCAGTGGCACGGACCGCGGTGACAAGTGTCTCATCGGCGAGGCGGCACCTCGCCTCACCCCCGCGGTCGCCGGAGGATGATACCGTGGCCGGCGACAACGGTCGTCGCCGTCCGCGAGTCTCACGCGCGATCCAGCGATCGAGAACGTTGAGCCGCGGCGGCCAAGGCCGGCGGCCTTCGACGCTCGGTCGCAAGAACGATTCCTCGCGGATCCGCGACAGCGGATTCCGCGATCACCACGGCGGACCACCGGCTGCTCCCGCGGAAGCTCAGGAAAGATGAGAGGCGTCCGCGACGGTGGCATGGCGAGCCTCCTCGCCCTGGCGCTCCTCTATTTGCTCCACGCGTCGTATCCTGTAAACGGTACAGTATATATTCTTCTAACTGGAAAAGTGGAAACTCTTATCTCGTAAAAATACCTTGTGAGAGATTAAAGAGTTTTCATAGTTAATGCATTCTCGACGCAATAGTTTTAAACACAAAGTTACGTTTATTCAATGTGGTAATGCGGATTCAAGGTGTGAAAATTGTAATTGATGTTTATGCCGACTAGAAAATTTGTTTATTATGAAGTCTTTTATAGAATTAGAATTTGACGCCAAAAAATATTAGTTGACAAAATTTGATTGAAATAATAGGGTTTAGACTGAAATATTATACAGAAGGAATCGAGGTACAAGAGTGACTCTATAGTTTAAAATAAGTCGAAATAATAAAATAAATATGTTTTCAAATGAAGTCTCGTTTTCGAGGAAAAGAAATTTGAAAGTTAATCAACTAAAATTATTTTTATGTTTAAAAGAAGAATTAAAAGGAGAAAAAATGTTAGAGAGAGAGAAAGAGAGAGAGAGAGAGAGAGAGAGAAACAATCTATTCTAATTAAATTCTAAAATAGAATACAACTTTATATACGACCAACGTCAACGGCCAATATTTTCAACAATATTTCAGCTAAATAGGGAATAAGAGTGTAAAAAATAAAATTATTCTTCATTTTACACAAATTCACTTAACTACTTTTAAGAGTCAACTAATTTAATCAGTTCGTCCTGATAGCAAAAAAAAAGAATTATACAGAACGTCTGCTATTACATCACATACTATTACATTAA